CTCAGGCGCTGTCCACCCTTCTGCTGGGGAAGGTCTGCTCCTACACACGCATCTGCTGTTTGCAGTGGACAACGGGCCGGGGTCCATTCCTAGGGTTCCCTGTGCCTGGGTCCCCTGGCACCCTTGCTGATGTCTTAAATTTTGCTCACAGGGAGGAGCGGGCCCTGTTCTGGCTGCTCTGGAGGTTTTGTCAAGGCCACGGCGTCCATGACTGCCAGCCCTGCACCTGCAGGGCCCTGCGTGACCTCTGCTCCGGCACCCGCCCCCCGCAACCGCCCACCTGTCTCTACTCCTGTGGCTCTGCCTTTTGTGGCATGGCAGGGGATGGGATTACACACAGAGGCTTCTGATTTGGAGACTGTGACTAGGAGAAGCCATGACCCGCCCTGTTCTCCCCAAGGCCGTGGTTCCCCCGCAGGGCTGCGTGTGGCCTTGCGCGGGATGGACCAGCTCGGACCCACTCACCTGCTGGCCACTGTTGAGCGTGAATGAAGTGGACACAATCATCTGCGCACACATTTGTGCAAACCTAAGTTTTCCGTTTGCTTGAATGAATACCCGGCTTCACATTTTGGAAGGCAGAGGCTGGGCCTCGCGTGTTCCCAGCACAGTGAAGGCCACACTGGCTGCTCTCCGTCTTCTCCAGAATTTTTTTTTTTTACAAAAGTTTATTTTTACATCATTTTGTACATTTTCCCCATCTCAATTGTAATCCCCACGGGCCATCCATCACAGAATTGGCATTTTTTTGTTTTTGTTTTTGTTTTTTTTTTTTAAGATTTATTTATTTGTGCATACAGAACTGGGGTACAGGCCAGAGGCTCAGGGGCGGCGAGAGGCTTCCCCAGAGACCGAGCGGGGAACAGAACAGGCAGATCGAGGAAGTCCACTGCTGAGGGGGGCAGTGGGCGGGTCAGGAGAGGTCTGCCGCGCCCTGTGGTCACCTCCGGGGCAGGCGGGGATCGAACTCATGCGGAAGTGGCTTTAGATTCTCAGTGCTGTGCTTTAACCCGCTGCGCCACCAGGGAGGGCCAGAATTGGCATTTTTTAAAGCTACTTCATTCCATTGGCGGAAGGGGGATCCCCACCGTAGTTTTAGTGAGCACCCCCCACGCCTGCTGTCCAGCCCTGTCCGTCCTCATTCCCCGGCACTTTCTCCTCCTTTGCTGATCTCCCTCCAGCTGTCTTTCCATTTCGCTTCTGTGCTTTTTGATTCCTGAGTTTGGGTTCCTTATAAGATACGAGTCTTTATCAGACGAGTGCTTTTCTCCAGCTTTCTGACTGCCCTCATCGTTTCCTTCACACCGTCTTTCATAAAAGACCATTTCAAATATTCTCGAAATCTCACTGAGCAGTCATTCCTCCGGGCGTGAGCTTTTGGTGATTGCCCAACCCGACGGTCACATACTTGCCCTTTGTTTCCTTCTAGCAGTTGACTGAGTTCTCATTTTGCGCAGAGGCGCTTCCTTCCACCGGAGTCCCTTCTGTGCACAGCCACGGCAGTGCTGGGACCGGTCCTTCCGCAGGGACGGCCGGTCCTTGCGGCTCACTTGTCCAGGACCTGGCTGTCCAGCCTTGACCGCCTTTTCATCTGCCCACAATCGGTTGGCTATATTTGCGTCGGGCTGTTCAGTTCCAATTATTTTCCCTCTTTGATCTGTCCTGTTACCAGTCTCAGGCTGTCTCGGTGACAACGGTTTTGTAGAAGATCTTGAACTTGGGTACTTGGGCAGTGTGAGTTCTCTGATTTTGTTCTTTTACAAAGTTAGGTTGACTATCCGCTTTGTTCGCTTTTTCAATAAATTCTATTATCACTGCTCTCTCTCTCTCTACTATGTATCTATCCATCTATCTGTCTACCCATCTATCTCCCCTCGAATACATATGTACATTGAGAGATATATATATATTACATGAAATCTGTAGGTCAAATTGGGGAGAATTTATTTCAGCGTTATTTTAATTTTTCTTCTGTGCTTCACCCATGATTCAGCATATAGGTCCTGTGTAGATTTTGTTCGAATTATGGGTAAGCACCTCGTATTTTGGTGATGTTGTTAGTGGCGCCATTTTTAGTTACATTCCAATTGTTTATTGCTGACATACAGGCATATGGTTGACATTTTACATTGTTTGTTTAAATCCCACAAACTTGCTCAGTCCCCTCTTAGTTCTAAGAGACATTTGGTAACAATCCTGTCATTTGCAGATAGAAACACTTTCATTTTTTCTTTCCAACTCACACAGCTTTTATTTCCTTCAATTCCTCACTCCCCTGACAAGGGCCTCCAGTGCCATGTTGCAAGCAGTGGTGGGAAGACTGTCCCCCAGACACGTCTCAGTCCTAGCTGTTCTTTGTTGGAGGCATTTTGGAGGTGTGTGTTGTTAATGAAGGGAGTGTTCTAGTGAGTTCCACTAGGTTCGAGTTTGTAGACAAGAATGCATTCTGAGTTTTACTCTGCTTTTCTGCATGTGTGGAGATGACCATGTGGTTTTTCTTATTTAGTCTGAGGATGCCTGAATAATAACTGATTTTCAAATAATGAATCAGCCTCGCTTTCCTTAGGTAAAGTCCACCTGGTTATTCTGTATTATCCTTTCGAGACATTGCTGCATTTTTTTTTTAAATCTTTAGAAGATTTTTACAAGCATCTTCATAAATGACAATGCTACTTATGTATTTTTGTTCCTATCTTTTCTTACTTGGTCTTCTGGGCACTACTGACTTTACGGAATGTGTTGTTTTCTCTCCTTTTCTATTTTCTGGAGCGGTCTGTTAGCATTCAGGAGTGAAGCCATCCGCACTGGGATCTTTCTCTTTTAGAATATATTTCACTTTGAATTTGGTACCTTGACTATTTCAAGGGTGAGTCAGGTTATTCTAATCTTCACTTCCTGCTGGGCACTTGCTTCTTCTAAGGAATTCTTCCATTTCAGTTAAGTTGATATATTTATTTATTGGTGAAAGTTCTTTCTTGCCTGTCGGCCAGTCATGTTTTTCTGTCTTTCACTACAGGGTGTTCCCCCGTGAGCCCTCCCTCACTCTGTTCACCTAGAGTCTCTGCCTTCTACTGGTCTTCTCAAGGAAGTGGCTTTGGATTCCACTGGTTTTCACTTTTGTGATTTCAGTTTCATTGGTTTTGTTATTTTTAGTCTGTCCTTTCTGCTTTGGGGGTTGCTATTAGATTCTTCTTTTCTTCTTTTGTAAAGCAGACACTTAGGATGCTGGCTTTGTGAGCTTCTTTTATAACACAAGCATTTAATCATATGTATGTCTCTCTAAACACCACTTCAGCAACAATCTATAATTTTTGTATATTTGGCTCTCATTTCCATCGAGTTAGAAACACTTTAAAGCCTCCCTTCATGGTTCTTCTTTGACCTATGAGTTGTTTAATTTCCCAGTGTTTGGTGATTTGCTGCTTAAATTTCAATTACGATCTCTACTTTGATCTTTTATGGTCTGAGAACATATTTTGTATGGTTTCTCTGGTTCAGTTTGATTCAGTTTATAGCACAGGAGTGGGTCCCTCCAGTGAGGGTCCCGTCTGTACTGAACTCATGTGTGTCTGCTGTCCTGGGGCATGTTCTGTTGACATCGACTGGCCAAACTGGTTGCAAGTGTGATTAGAGCACTCTGTGGAGGATCACTGCTGAGGTCAGCCCCTCTGAAGGTCAACAGCTCTTGTGCACATGACTCTGACTAGAGCGTCCTGGGGCTCAGTGTCGGGTCGGCGCTGATACTCTGTCTGGGCAGCCTGGCAGCGCCGCTCTGCTCCTCAAGGTCCAGGAGGGACTATGCCCATCACCGGCCTCACCCCAGCACAAACAGAGCAGGGCCCTGCCACCACCCCAAGCACACACGCCTGCTGGTTCCCTTTGGGAACTTCCCGACGTACTTCCGTCTCCTCGTCACCTGTACCAGCCTCAAGGCGGAATTTGTGAAATCTAGATCCGAGGCACCACAAGACAAGAGGAATGGTGGATGGTGGCCAGTCTGCCAGCCACGTCGTCAACCTTGGCACGGGTTCCTGTCACACACAGGAATGTCCCTCATGTCAGGGAATAGAATCACAGGAGTTATGAGAAGTCTGGAGTTGAGCCTACTTCTAATTAACCCCCTTCCCTCTATCATAACTTGGGTAATGCTGACTGTCTGTAATGGTTGATCGATATGTAGAAGAACTGGGGTGTTGGCCAGAGGTGAGGGGTGAGAGGATCCACCAGAGGCAGAGTGGGGAGTAGAGCAAGTGGGTCCACTGACACCCACTGCTGAGGGGAGCAGCCGGGAGACAGGAGGGGTCTGCTGCGCCCTGTGGGTCCCTCCCTGGCTGGGACTGAACTCGTGCAGTTGGTGATAGTGCTGAAGGTTAATTCCTAGGTCACCAGGGAGGTCTCCAACTTTGTAAGCTTCTGTGTTGAGATAACACACTTATAACACTTAATTGTGTGTTGAGCTCCTAGTTCATGACCGACTGAAGCCTGCTGCCCTGACTCGTATTAACTGGCGTCACTGGCGTCGTCACTGTTGTTCTTGCTTTACTCGGCCGTCTAGTCCAATGACTGCACTTTAAAATTTAGGGTGGATGTATGGGGTGGGGGGCCTGAGGTCACAATCTAGAGGAGTCACAGGGATAGGCACCTGGCATAACTGTTTCCGTTGCCCATTTTAGTTGTAGTTTTCCATAGTGTCTATGGTCGCTTTATTGCTATAAACGGCTATAAACGGGACACTGCTCTCCACTCACTTCACTCATGGCACTACCTTTGGCATCCCTGGACATAACTAGCCACCTGCAAGTGCATTACAAAGAGAAGGCAGCTGTGTGAGACCAGGGAAGGCCAAGTGTGACCGCCAGCTTCATGCTGAGGTGTCCTTGTTCCGCGCTCCACCCACCACCCCTGAGCTCGGACTTCCACGCTCCCTCCTCCCCACGACTTCCCCTGCTCTGGGCCCGGCGTGGGGACTCACTGACCCTGTGCTTTCTTTTCTTAAACAGGTGGGCTCTGCATTGCCCAGTCCGTGAGAATCCCCCAGGAGCGCAAAGACAGAACCATCGACTTTGATAAGATTATCAAGCAGCTTCTGGACACGCCTAACTCCAGGGCCGTTGTGATCTTTGCCAACGATGAGGATATAAAGTAAGGACGGTGGGCGACGCTCCCATAGAGACAGACAGGGCGCTGAGGGGGGCGGCAGGGGAGGGGCCGGGAGCCCAGAGGCGTGGTGACCCTGCGGCAGAGGGCCTGGGGTGCATTCTGTGCACCGCACTCGGCCACAGCAAACCAGGAGCTGGCTGTGTCCTGCGTCTCCCCATTAGCTAAACACGAGCTTCCAGTTACTCACTAAAGGAGAAAACCGCACAGCTTTTAGAGGTCCGGGCAGGGAACATCTCTAACTGTAGTAGACTTTTACCCAAAGCAAAGTTCCTCTTTGTGGAAAAGGGAAATGGCTGATTCCCAGCGTTGCTCCTGCTCTGACTCCACGCAAGCAGGTCACCCCTGCACGTCCAGGTCACCCCTGCACGTCCTGCAACCCACCTTTGGCTGCCGGCACCCAGCCCGAGCCTCCTGGGAGTCAAATCCGGGGCGTCTTGCTTCCGTGGTTTCCTCCTTCCTGGCTCTCTTGGCCCAGTCGTGTACAGCTCACCTTTGAAGTATGTCTGGAACAGAAATATTGTCAGCTTTCTGCTCCGATCGCTGCCATCCCAGTCCAGAGCCTTCCTCCCCCCTCCTCTCTTCTACACTCTCCCCCGCCCCCGTCTTCCTGCTACTCTTCACCTCTTTCTAGAAAGAAGAATGATATTACTTGATGCAAACCCCCAAAACTATAAAAATATCTAGGTTTCATAAAAGTTCTATCCATCCTGTCCCTGAGCCAACAAGTTCCCTTCAGGTAGAATGGCCAGTGGCCAGTTTCTCACTGTCTCCTACAGACAGCCTGTACTTGTCCACGCAAGTGACGTCACTCTGTCCACTCACACCCCACTGGCGGGGGCACTGGGGTCCCAGCCCGTCTTCTAGGTTAAAGTAGAACTTGAAGGTGAATGTCTTTCTTCAGGCTGCGTGCCCAGGCCACGGCTGCTGCCCTGCGGCGTCGCCCACCTCCTGGCCCCGAGCCTCCCTCATGCTGAGCCCCACGCCAGTGTGGAGCTCTGAGCGCGGGGGCATCATAGGCGGGTGGAAGCGATGTGGACTGAGGCGTGGCCACCCGGGAGACCCTGAAAGACACCGTCTTGCCTGGAGAGTGCCCCGGCCCTCGGGCAGCCAGTAATTCCAGTGACATCGCTGAGCTTGCTTCTGAGGACTCTCCCGGAGCATACGACTTTGGTAGCGTCTCTCGCACGACCCAACTCACGTCTAGTCACTGACGGCGTCTCGCGTCGGAGGTCGCCCAAGGCCGTGTCTCCCCACATGTCTGGAGGCGTCACTGGGATAGAGAGCCCTGCCTGCCTCTGTGCTGTGAACTCCCGTCACAGTGCTCAGCACCCAGTGGGTGCTCGGTGAGTCTCAGTGACCCGAGGAATGAGTAAATGCAGGATTGCAGGGCCTGACCGGTTCCTATTTGCAGTTGAAGTGCTGGTCCCTCTCGCCTGGGTTAGCACTTCGACCTCAGCGTCCCTCCTGCACTTTCCACCCAGATGCCACGTCCCGTCCGCCACACCGCAGCCCTGTTCCGTCATCACCTTTGCAGGTGGTGGTTCCTCCTTCTTCTCAGCACACTGAAATATCTGTTCTTCAGAACGGTTTCAGGCAGGGCCTCCCTCGTGGCCTAGGGGTGACATCTCGGGCTGTCACTGCTATGACCTGAGTTCGATCCCCAGCCGGGGAGTGACCCCCGGGGCCCAGCAGACTCCTGAGTCCCCCGCTGCTCCCCTCAGCAGTGGGCTTCAGTCAGCCCACTTGTCCTGCCCCCCACTGTCTCTGGCGAATCCTCTCACCTCCGTACCCTTGGCCTGTACCCCAGTTCCTCTACACACAAACCCCCATAACACCTATTTCAGGCATGTCTGAAACCAGTCACTCTTCCACGGTGTCTTTTTACTTCTTACAAAACGCTGATGGTGTTTCCTTAGCACATTTTTCTTGTGTACTTTAAGGTATTTGGAGATTTTTCTTTTCATAATTCAAATCTCATTTTCTTTGCTCATTTTCTTTCAGTTCTGTTGCCTTGTTAATCAACTCCTAATTGTTTCATACCCATTATGTACATTTTCTAAAGATGCTAGGCATTAATAAGGTGTGACCTCCATGCCTATCATTAAATATTCTGCACACTAACATAAAAGGTTTCAGGCGCAGAGCGATGGTGACTAACAAGCTGTTCCTCTTGACAACAGGTAGCAAGAGGTGTTAATTTGGGACATAAACATGTATATTTCCACCCAATAACTTCATGCATCTTTTATTTGCCTTGGGGTTTGGCTGTGTGAACATCATCCTGTGTGTGATTTGCGGTGGCAACAGCAGAGATTGATCTGGGGTCAAGTTCGTGAAGATCAAGGGCATGAACGTTTCTCCCCGAGCCTGATCTTCACACTCTGCTGTCCAAGAAGCCTTGATGACCCATCATGTGGTGTTATTTCTGTCGTCAGGTGATTTGCACTGGCGATGAGAACTTGAAAGATTTCCTAGAACGTTAACTTCAACTTCTTTGTCAGAGACTAACAGTGAGAAGACATTAATATCTAGATTTGAAGCTGCAATATGCTAATTCAGCCATGGGTGCAGATAGTTTGGATTTTAGACAGGAATGGATTCTTTTTTTAAAAATTCTAATTGTAAAAGTAACATGTGGCTGTTCTATTTCCACGCTAGCTTTGGAAAGAGTACTGTTGACAGAAACACGTTTGCCTAGCCTCTTGCTTTTCTAGAAAAACAAAGCCTAGAGAGACTAGTCCATACAATCCAAATAATCTACAAAGCTTGCCATCCCAGCAGTCGGCCATCACCACAAATAAAATTCTGGTTTACAACTTGGAAATTTTTCCCAATCATACCTAAGTTGCCCTCAGCAGACAGCTTCACGTAGAATCTTCTATTCCTCTTCTTGTAATTCACATTTCGCTTCTCACGCCATCAGCACTGTGACGTGCCGGATCTTCTCTGCCTTCCCAGAGAGACCCACTTACAGCACACGCGTGACGGCAGCGAGCTGTGCTTTCGTGTTTACATCCGCTGCAGCTCCTCTTCCTCCTCCTCGGCCCTGTCAACATGCCCCTGTGAATTTTGTGTGTCACCCATAAGCTTTGTCTCTCAGCCGACCCAGTACTTTGAACTCTGGATATAAACATGCGCAGAAGTTTTAGGCAGATGTCGTTGCCAAAGAAAGTCTTCCGTAGTTTTTGTTTTAGTTTAAGTTGACTCGTCTTTCTTGACAATATCTTGTGGAAATCACACTGGGGGTATCTTACTTGCCTCTTTCTCATCTTTGAACACTCCCTCATTTGTTCAGCCGGTTCCCTGGAGCTTTACATCGGGGTTGTCTCCAGTAACATATGTTTTTGACATGTGTTCTTTGGATCATTTCCTCTGGATGTGTCAGAAGAAGCGATATCTCTTGGTCAAGAATATAAATCATCGATGGTATTTTATTTTTATGGAAATAATAGTGCACGTATCACAACACAAGTGAAAGCACCCGCGATGCGAATTCCTGGCCTCCGGTCCGCTCCCCTGTGGCCGCCGGCTCCGCGGCCGTTGAGCGCCTGTTTAATCCTCCGGGCTCCTTCCCCCGGTCTTCTCTGCCACTGTGCCTCTACCCGACTTTCGAAAGGTTTAGCTTCAGAGGTCATCTATAAAGTCTTCTTATATTGGGGAGAACCTGGACCCTTCTACCTCCTCTGTTCTCCCAACATCATTCTTGCAGGTTTGCATAAATAAAAATGAGTGTTCACACTATTATGAATATGCAAATATCATGTGCATTACATATTTTTTATGATATGATTTTTTTTAGGAGAGAACTTTGTATTCCATGGAAATTAGACGACACTCGTTTTCTTACATATGTATCTTTAATATTTTTACTATTATTATTTTTAAAGATTTATTTATTTATGCACACAGAACCGAGGTACAGGCCAGAGGTGCGGGGGGTGAGAGGCTTCGCCAGAGACAGAGTGGGGAGCAGGACAGGCAGATGGACGAGTACACTGCTGAGGGAGCAGTGGGGAGACAAGAGGGGTCTGCTGTGCCATGTGGGTCACCTCCGGGGCGGGGAATCGAACTCGCACTGAAGCAGCTGCGCCAGCTTGCAATGCTGTGTCCTATCTCGTTGTGCCACCAGGGAGGGCCTATATTTTTTATTATTAATGTCACAGCTCTGCCAGTGTTCCCATCTGTCCAGATAGAAGGTAATCTTTGAGTTCCATTGTTTTTCCTGGACATTTCCCTCCTAAAATCTCCATCTTTCTGTTTTATTCAAGGCTAGTCTCCATTACATTAAGAATCATATTTTCTTGTTCTCTTCTATTTCCATTTGGGGTTTCTTTCTTCATTTTGCTGGCTCACATCCTCCAATAACTTTCTAACAAAGGCTAAATTAAAGGAAAGCTGTATTCCAGTTTCAGAAATGTTCTTTCTCTGCCTCCACCTGTAATTACTCACTGGAAACATAAGGTGTGTCTTCTTTTCTATCCATAAATACGTCATACGCGTCACATACCTAACATATATGTCTTGCTATGCTGACTGATATATTACAGGACTAATAAATTCCAGGTTTGAGGTTCAAATTCTAGACAGTGAGATAGCTTTTGTCCCTCGGAATCCTGGAGGCTCTGTGATATGTCCACGATCATCTTTCCATTGGTTTTAGATTGTTCTTTTGTTTGTTTGTTTGTTTTGCTCTGGAAAAATCCCTTCTTGCTTATCTGCATGTATCCTGGTGTTTTCTTGGAGTTTCTTCAGATGTTCTCATTGATTCCAAAGATCTTACATCTTCTTATATGCTTGATCTTTCTCCATTAGTTTGCTGGATAAGCCTTTTTTTTTTTT